CCCCCCCCCTCCCGCAAGACACATAACGTAACTCCGCGAATATGTACTCTTGAAAATTTCAACTCGACCGCGCACATTGTGTATCGCAAGGTATCGCGTTCGTTACAATTTCAATTACGCGCCACTGTACTTCGCCAAATTGCAAACTTGTTTTTCCGACTTGTTTTTTCTTTTTTTTCTTTCTGTTTTACATTCTGCAGTTCGGTTTAACGCGGTTTAATTTAGCGGAACGGAAACGCCACGCACAGTGTCCGCAAATGTCGGCGAAATATTGGAGGGGAGGATATCGCCGCGCATTTTTATCGCCGCTGCCGGCGCAAGAATTCACGATCGGCCGGGTTAAGGACGCGCGAGCACTCTTACGCATCGCGGCAAAATCTGTTTCCCGCGGCGGAAGATTCCCCCCGCGCGTTTATGAAGGTCGGTGCCGGGTCGTGGGCGGACGCATCAATACGTGACAAACGCATTTTAGTGCTCCGCTTGGCACTAAACTAGCGAAACGCGCAATAAAAACCGCCGTTAAAGTGAACGCTCCGTAAAAGGGATATTAACGATTTGAGCGCCGTGGTAGTCGTTCGAGCGGAAACGGAAATCTAACTAAACTCGTATCGGCTGATGAAGGACGATCAAATCTCGACGTTTCTCGGGGAAGAGCACGCGCAAGACAATTCGCTCTGTCAGCAGCGGCGGTTTTCGGGATCTTCAGCTACCCCGAAGTAACCGTGCCACGTCGTGCCGCGGTGATTTTACAGAACGATACTTGGAACGTGTGCTTTTTGAGGTAACGAGTCGAGGTAAAGGTACCAATGCCTGGATTCTAATGACATTGGTGCCTGACTCTGGACGTTCTTCTTGCTTCGGTTGTTTGCTCAAATACGAATATTTAAACTTTTAACGTAGAATATACATATGTATTCTCTATATTGAAATTTCAATATTCGTACTTAAGGCTCTCCTGGTCCTTCGCCGTAGAATTCTCATTTAATGACGTCAGAATCGAGAACACGCACGTGCCCAAAATTCTTCAGCGAATTCTTCAGCGAGATAAGAGAATGTGTCCATGGAGTGACTCTTGAATATATAAATATTTCTAAAACTTTTCCCTTGTTCTAACAATCAATAAGTAAAAAGTGGAATCAAACAAAGATGAATCCACGCGGCTCAAGCCCGGAAATCAAATCTAATATACATGGACACCGCGAAAGCCTAAAAAATCAAATCAATAAGTAAAACTAACGTGATCCTTTTGTTTAGCCTACCTCTCATGATCTTATCACGTGAATTTTACGGCTATTTGTTGATTGCTAGAGGGAAGGAATATTTTGCAAATGTGTGCTCAATCGATCGCAAGTGTCATTTCGTCGGTATAATCTCTGATTTCGGCGTACTCCGTAAGAATTTCAGGCATACGTTTGGCCTGGACTCTGGCCTGACATCATTAATGAAGATGGCCGAAGTCCTAACGACCAAACCAATAAGAGTGTCTAGAATTAGGTGTTATTAATATCCAGGCACTGGCACTTCGAGTTTGCACACGTGTACAAGCCACAGGACCGAGGAAAGGACTGTTCCTCGAGAGATGAGCGAATCCCGTCTTTAAATCGCGCACAATTTCCGTAATTAATCTGCTCACATCGCGGTGCCAGTTCCAACGTTCGACCTCATTATTACAGATGTTCCCCGCGGTATCGTAGAACACCTATTGTACTCGCCAATTAATCATTTGTTGATATATCCGACATAACTCTGCGGCGATCGACGAACCGAGTCCTCGATCGCCGCGCGTAAGACTCGAGTGAGTCGCGCGAGAGGGGACGAACAATTCGGACTCGTCGAATGCGCTTCCGGGAGTGTGAGGGTCGACAGGCGATTTGAGAGGCTCGATCTCGAAATCCGCGAGAGACTAATTGTTCGAAGCGCGCGTCTGCGAAATGCCCGGCACTAATCGCGCGCGGGCGCTCGCCCGCGCCTGTCCAACACAGGCCGGCCGGACACGCCGCACAACTGCTCCTTATTGAACCAAACGACCGACTCGATCTACGTGGAGTGCATCGAGGGCTTCGACGGCGGGCTGCCGCAAAAGTTCACGATGCAGGTGGACCGCGAGATCGGGCCCGGCAAGAGCGGCGGGTCTTCCGCTACCGCCGGCGCCGCCGCTGCCGCCGCCTCCTCCTCCACCACGACTGTCTACAACCAGACAAGCAAGCTGCCGACCTTCTCTGTCAACAATCTGGACCCCGGCAGCACCTACGAAGTTTCTATTTACTCCACCAACGCCAAAGGTCGCAGCGAGACCGTGCACTTTCGCGCCACCACTCTGAATCTCCCTGAGAGACGAACAGGTGAGTAGCCCGGGCCACAGAATCGAGACACGACACGTTGAGAATGACCGACGAACGACCCGCGGTGACAGCCACGTCGTCGTCCACGATTTACCGAACGATTCATAAGTAAATCTCGAGGACGATGCGAGCGGCGCGACGCGTCCCCGTGCGCGAAACGACGAGCTTATTGGACGGAGAGAACTTCCCGGAGAGAAACTTTCAAAGGAGTTACGAGTTGCGTGTTACGATCCGAGTGCTGGTTAGACTGTAATTTTAATAAAGATAACAGGGCGCAATAACGGTAATAATAAAACGGCGCGCTTAATGCGGTATGAAATGTCGCGACTCGAAAGATGTCGCAATTCTCGAACAATTTCAATAACGATCTCGCGTATCAATGGCCGATTTGAGTGCTCCTCCCGGACATTTATTGCGTGACGATTTTCGCACAACCTCGAGTCCTCAAAACTGCGTTCAGCCGTATGCGCGCGCGATTTTATTGGAGATGCTCGCTAATGTCGCGCAGTTTGAAACATCGCGTAAATAGCTCGTTATCGTATTTCGTAATTACTGCATTACTCGCCCAGCCGGGGAAGTTCTCTCAATCTCGACCTAATAAACTCGCCGTAGTTCGGCGAGTGGTGGGTGTAGTTTATCGAGTGGCTCTTAAGTTCCGACTGTGTCAATACCATAACAATATCGGCGGTTATACTTCGCCCGGTGCAGCGTAAAACGACGCTCTGCCGCGCGTCGTAAATGCGCCCGAGGAATATAAACGGGAAGCGGAATATAAAGGAGGAAGCGTCGTCGCGCTCGCAGACGACAGGGGGATATTACTTATGAATCGATCTAATATTTTGAGCACTGTTCGCCACGCTGCACGGCCTTGCATCGTAGAGCTCGTGTGAAACACGCTGATCCTCTCGAGCAATAACATCGTAACTCGATTGGGGCCCCTTTTTTGAGCGGGCCGCGCGAGAAAGTTCGCGAGTAAATTACGCCCGTGTAGTAATAATAGCGCGTGTGTTTGTGCCGATTTGCGCGAGATCATCCGCGCGGTTTACGCCAGATATTTCTCATTACCGCGCGGAAAGTTAGACAAACAGCGCTACAGGATGTATATAGAAAAGTTTAAATCAGTCGTAAGTTTATAATGGAGTTTCATTTCCCTGCCTTCCTCCCTCTCTCTCTCTATCTATCTATCTATCTCTATCTGTCTCTCTCTCTTTCCCACTTTCTCTTTCTTTATCTCTCTCCGTTTCTTTATCCTCCGTTTCTTTCGACGAAATTTATCTCATTTATTTGATTAATTGTCGAACAACCGAACAAAGATATTTGAGAAAAGAGACGTGGGACGTTTAAGTAACGTTAACGATACAAATACGCGTTCACGTAAAGTCGTTGGCGATATCGCAGCAACGTTTGACTTCGCCCTGTTACCAACGGCCTTTTCTTCCGGCCTTTTCTTCCGACCCTTCCTTCCGACCTTTTCTTCCGTAGAATAGCCCAATGAATACAAATCCCATTTTGAGACGAATAAACAAGGATTTTAGCGAAACGTACTAGCAAATGCATACTAACATTGCCGCGAACAGTAGTAAATCCCGAGCGAAATCTGAATTAATAACCTGCCCTGAGGTAATTTCTATGTCCCTTTTCGCGATAGAAGAGCTGAATTATATTTCTATTCGAAATACGTGCTACGATGATCGATTTATTTGCAACCAAGTTACGAGTCGTTCGCGCGGAAAGAGTGTCGCGCCACGTTTTAATCGAGATGAACTAACGAGAGAAAAATATTTGGACTATCACGGACTCTCCAATAACGCGTGAAAATAGAACGCGACGTTTTAAGGACGCACGCAAGGTGCATGCGAGAGAGAGAGGAAATTGCTTTGCGAGTTACGATGATATTGAATCCGACCGTGAAATCCGCGGCTACTTCAGCGAGTCATGGTGTGTCCATTATCTCTTTATATCTGAGCGATCAAGCACACGTGTGTCATGTGGAGCTGTAAACGTGTTAGAGTTTCGTGTAGAGGACTGCATCAAAGTGGTAGCAGACATGCGGTACTTGCAAGATGTGATTAGATGCATATGCCGACACACCCGCAGGCGACGCATGATCGCTCGTCGTCAATGACCGTCTCGTACTCACTCGACTATTTCCGTCGCTCTGTCCATCGGCGATGGCCAGTATCGATGTGACCGATAAAAGCGAACAGAGTTAATAGCAATTGCACGCACCAACACTAACACAGGCCGCATCCCGGTAAGGTAAATGTAAGGTCACGTCGTAGCGTGACTCTGTGATTCTTTCTTTAGCGGAGAAACTTTTGTTACACTATGAGAGAATATATTTAAAAGAAATTGTAAATATTTCTTTGGTGGGTATTAATAACATGCTTAGCTTCAATTGAAATTCTTTTATTTAAGTAGAAACAATTGTTTTTCTGAAAAGGTTTGTAAAGGTTTTGAGAAAATATACATATTTTTATCTAAAAAATATTTAATGTTAATATTAGCAAATATAGATTAATAGTACCCACCGAATAATTATTAATATTTGCCACTTTTTCGATATCTCTTCTCTCAGTACACAAGTTCCTTGTTTATTCAAAACAGTGTTGAGCATTAATTGATTAAAATTTTCTTTCGCTAAAACGGTCGGCAACTCAGCTCGATTCTTCAATCCCGCAGATCAATAATCAAAATTAATCAGTCGTCGTACATGTGTAGTAACGAATAATTTAATCGATTGGGAAAATTAATTATCCATGAGTGTAAAAGCGGTCACATGAAATTTGGATTAGTAATTAACTTCATCGACCGATGAAATAATTTGTGATTTCACATATATGACGATTAATTAATTTCGATTAATGATTTGTTGATTATTTTACTCAAGGAAAACTTTACTCGATCAATGCGCAACGCTGATCCGAGAACTTAGTACCCGCCGATAATTATTTATCGGGACGAGCGTTCAATTTACATAGTCAGCGAGGGGGCAGTGTCCTCTCGGGTCTCTTTACGCGCGATAATTAACCCGAGCGATTCCCTGATGACCAATATCGAGTGGATCGATTAAATACGAGACGAAACGCGTTCTTTGCGGAGTAGAACCTGTTCTTCTCGCGCTACGAGTGCAGAAACGTACGAGGACTTCGCTCCTCGCAATTTATCAGAATCGAGTTGCAAATTCCGCGTCTCGAAATTCACCCGCGTGTCGCGGAGATACACTTTCGGTAGTAGCTTCACGTTGTAACCCCATTAAACAAAATTCTCGGCCTAATTTAGCGCCGGCAACCCCAGTCTGTTCTGGCGCATTCTTCTAACTAATTGCTCACGATTAACCCGTGGCTGCACGTAGACGGACGTTAAGCGGCGTACGCGCGTTAATAATGCGCGGCTAATAGGTGGCGGCTGCGGAAGCCGTCGACGTGGACGTCGTCGTTTATCCGCTCTACTGCGGCCGGCGGCGCGGTGGATCGAGATGGGGTAAACCAGACTATAAAAGGCCTTTCGCATTTCGCGTCAGCTGGCCTCCCTTCGTTACAAATCGCCGTTCCTTACGCTACGTACGTCCAATTTATATTCGCGTCTGCCGTTACCCGAAAACTAACAAGACTCGGCGAGATAGTCGTACGGTCGTTCGCGCGAAAAAAGACACGCGGAAAAAAAAGTATATCGAGGGCAACGTGATTTCTTCATCTTCATATTTCGCGATATTATTTCGTGCGAAAGGACTGCGATGTTTCCGGAACGTGTCTCGAAAAATATACTCCTTATTTGTGAGAGGCTCTCACAAATTCGTCCACTCAGGAAAATGGTCTTGCGGTTATAGCGAAAATTATCTGGATATGGGAAATCAACTAAAATGGATAAATGACAAATAAATATTGCGATATTGCATGTTTTCTATTTAATCAATATAGATGATAGAGGCAAAATTTCTATCCGAATCTCTTTGTGAAATTTGGCAAGAAAGTATCTCTGTGGCACCGATCCAGATTAAAATCAATCACATTTATAAAAACTGGTAGACAAAGAAAATCAACAACGAGAGAGACAAAAGAAAACGTATAATTCTCACACCCATCTAAATTTGCTGATAGATATCGCTAAAATGCTGCTGCTGTAAATTCTACGTATTATAGACAATTTGTCATCAATTTATTATCATTAGCAGATACAAAAAACAGTGATAAATTTTAACCGTGATATTTAAAATTCTACTTGGACCAACAGAACATTTTTTTGAGTGAATCGGATCCTTTGATTCCATTTACAGATAAAAGATTAAACACAATTATCTGAAAAAATAACTCTATCTAAAAATTACACGAAAGCTGGCAAAAAGGTGAACAACAAGAATTGTTATTTTAATTGAACATAGCACGTCTGTTACCATTAATAAAAAAAAACCGAAAATCCGACGAAGTGATGAATTCGCAATGCGATTAGGATATCATTTAATTTCAATACATCTAAAACTGCAATATTCAAAAAACGAGTCGAGATATCAAAATAATCAAATCTTCTTCGAAAGTCCATCTTTTCATCGTATACGAGTAGATCGTACACTGTAAATCTAAGTATGTTATTTTGGCTGAACTTCTTTTTACATTACCGTTTTTTGCCGCTTTAAGTCACATTATTTGACACGTTGAAACATATTCAGTTATAATTTACACGTCTTAAACGTGCTGAATAGCGCACTGAAAAAACATTTGATATATTTGTAGCTATTATTACACAGAGAAATAATTAATATAAATTAAATAATGAAAAAAACTATTTTTTAATTAAATTATTCTATAATTTTAATGATAATAAGCCTATATGCATGTTACCACCACTATTTTACTACAAGAAACATGGTGTGGAAAACTATTATAATATTAATTGGATCAATCATTCGTTCTCTCAGTGCGCGATTCAAGTCCCGGAGAAAACGTGTGAAAAGAGCTTCAGCCGAAAATTACACACTGTAAAAATCATACACTTCGATTTGCAGTGACGACGTTTCGGAGCGCAGTCTCTCTCGTTTTTAACCATTGACGACCGGAGGCTGTTTACAGCGAAACGATTTACCGTTAACCACGCGGATCATACTTTTTTGCTTATCTCCATTTCTCGAGGACACGCTCCATAAAATACACTTCGCTCGCGCGACGCGAAAGTTATAGTCTCTGTCGGAAGATCGCACACGCCACTACTGCCGAGTAGTAGCAGCTTCCGAGGCGATAAAAATGACGAAAATACGCGCGCGCGGATTGGCTCGTCCCGCTCGATGACTGGCAGGTATCGATTGTATTTTGACGTTTCGCATTAAAATACGTCGGTACGCAGCGTGACGAACGATTGGCACATTTCATGGAAATCCATCGGCGTGATCGAGCTCTCTCTCTCTCTCGAGGAGATCGCACACCATCAAGCTCGCGAAAACGAGCGAGGACGCGTTTATGGCGGCCGATATCACGGCCGGTCGAGCTTCGATTCGTGTCTTGATGATTCCTCGATGGACCGCCGTATAATAATTATTACGAGCGAAACACCGCCGATACATGCTCGCGCTTGGTCGGTCAATTCCACCGTTCCATGGACAAACCCGTGACGAAATGCTAACCTGTGCAAACCCGAGGCGAAATTTTGAAAAACGATTAATGCGTCACCAGCAGATGTTTCGGTCCCCAGCTGATTGGAATGTCGCGAAACATATGGACGTTCTCGAGCGCAACTCCCGTTATATTCGCGCGCGATCGTTAAACACATCAATTAATTCTAGTGTACATTATAGCATATAACATCGTGTGTCCGGACGCGTTTATTTTGAAAGCGCCTTCTGTTAAACGCTTCTCGAGCAGAGCCCCGCAACCGCACATTTTTTTTATTGAAAATCACGCAAAAATTGACGTGAATTCGTTCAGTCGTGAAATTCGCGACACTCTCGCGGAAGGCAAACGCTTGCAAACTACTGCTCGACGGAAAGTTCTCGCACTCTTCTGCCCCAGGAAGCGTCCTATTCCGAATCTCTTAACTCTCCGTGAGATCTACGTGAGACCGAGTATTTCCGCTCGAGTAGTGTCGATTTCCCGCGAGTTACAGACCAGGAGCTCGTCCAATTATCACAGAGTTCGTTACTCAAAACGAGCTACCCGCGAACATCGCTATTGGCCAATCGTAACTTTCTCATATTTACTCGGCATACATCGCATTCGGTACCGATTACTGCCCGCCACCCTTAACTGCCGCTGCTCCCCCAACTCCTTGACTCCACTCGTAAAGCAACTCTCGCTCCGTCGAAACTAACCCCCGGCCTGCCCCCGTCCGACACTCGCGCCAAGTTCGCCATCCACTCGCGCTCTCGAGTCAATAGACGAAGGCTGAGGCTGGTGTGTTGTGCCACTTCCGGTAGCAGGTGAAATGCTGGCGCAACCACCCTCGCCGGAGAATTGCACGATCCGGGAGGAGAGCCGGACGACCGTGCGGGTGAGCTGCGCCGAGAGCGAGTACTTCGACGAAAACACCGCCACCTACGTACTGCAGGTCTTCGACGCCGACACCAGGCGGCTGTTGGCGTCCGCGACGAGCCTGACGCCGAGCATGCTCGAGGTGACGAATCTGCCGGCCGAGAGGAGCCAGTCCGGCCTGGTGCTGTCTCTCAGGATCATGACGGCGCAGGCGATGAGCGACGCCACGGTCCTGCACAGCCTGCACTTTGCTCGGGAGGGTAATACCCAGGAGCACCAGCGATACCCAGGTAGGGCCCAGAGATACACAATGGATCGTCCCTACCAACCCGCCAGCCTACCCGCCCGTCCGCCCCCGCCACCCTCGCCAACCCGGCCTGTCGTTGTCCCAACGAACGTCGTCGACGGTACTTCTCGCGCGAGGAATTAACGGCGCGCTCGTCACGGCAGCGACGAGCGATAAATCGTCGTCGTTGTCGAGCGAGCCACGAGAGGATCGATGTGTCAGTTCTTTCTTCGCTCCTTTGTGTGTATTGTGCGTGTTTTCATGTTGTGTGTGTCTTCGAGTTGCCTCTTGGTCGGGATTGTTACGTACGTTTCGGAGGGTGATGTCGTCGCGTGTTGACACGCGACATGATTTCGCGACCAGACGACGACGCGTGTGCCCGCGACTCGGTGTGTTCACGCGTGTGTATCCCGGATAGTCATTTATTTATTCCAATTTCCATGCTTGTGAGTTATGCCGTTTGACGTACCACTGGCTGTCCCTCTCTCTTTCTCTCTGTCTTTCTCTCTCTCTTTCTCTATCTGTATACTCTACTTATCACGTACCATGCAAACTACTCACATATCCCGTGAGTAAGAACCCAACGCTATCGTGATCGGCATAAAACTCGGCTAACGAGTTCGAACACGATGGTATATACAGAATATAAGATGGGAAGTAGACGGTTGAAACATCAAGCTTGAGAACACGCATGATAAATATTTTTTTATTTATTTTTTACACAGACCGACACGACAGCAATGTTGAACGTTAATTGATAAAAATTCTCGTTAACTGTGCAGTAATCGGCAAAACAAAATAATCGAAACTGATCAATCGTCATATATAATCACGAATAATTTGTTCGAGTGATGGACTTAATGATTAATCAAACTTTAATTTGATTGATTGTATACAGTGTAGAGTGATTAATAATTAATTTCATCAGTCGATTAAATTATCTGTGATTGCATACGTGACGACTGATTAATCTTTATTGACTTGCCAATTATTTCAGTCGAGAAAAATTTCCGTCAATTGATCCCCAACGCTACGCAACAGCCTTAGCATGTCATGCAATTAAATTATTAGGATTTTTTAATCGTTCACATTACTGATTAATTAATTCTTTATTTATCATTTGAGCAAGCGCGGGAGCGATATGTCCAAGCAGAGTGATCTTTGCGTTAATGTTCAGAAATAGATTGTTTACGATCAGAAAGTAGCAGTAAGCTAATTGCACTTGCGTGTTAAAGCTGTTGTGCGCCGGTCTGTGTATTCCACTTGCAGTCGCCTGCGACTGTCAACGGATAGGAATGGTAACAGCAGCAACATCAGCAGTAGAATAGCAGTGATAGTAGCAGTAATCCACGTCATCTGTTTTATCGTTCGCGCGATGAAAACGCTCAATCGGCGGCGGCGGCGGCGACGCCGGCCGTCTGACGTGTCGGCGCCTCCGCAAATTCATCACAGAGGTACTATCTCGAAATTTGCATATTTACCCCGCGCACACACGACCCATACTCTCGAGGTTTTTCTGTCCATCGAGGAGCCGGAACTATCGGATTAAAGGCAATCACCGGGGAATCCCGCGATTGACTCGCGTAATATTGTTACATCGTTTGTACGATACGGTCAATCTGCATGCGCCAGACTCGTGTTGACGTAAATCCATAGTCTGCGTTACGCTTCACGCTCATGCTCGTGGTGAGCGAGCGAGAGAGACAGATTCCGCCTGTTTTCTCTGGATTGGACTGGTAGATACTACGACCCCGCTGAAGCTCCCCGCAGCCTGCCATTGTGTATTTCGTTTCCCCCGTACGAACTTTCAGCAAACTTCCCTCGCGCAAATTGTGTTGCGTTGTTAATTTTTCCCACGTCATTCGCTATTTGAAGTGCGCATCAGCCTGTCTCTCTTTCTCTGTGTATGTGTACATTATATATGTGTTGTATATGTGTTATATAGATTAGAAAGCACGTTCTCTTTTACGTTATATATTTCTGTGTAATAAGACGCTGGTCTTTTCGTAGGACGAATCGTTTGCGCGAACGGTTCGTCCCGCGCGCTCTTTCGCACGTGATAAACATGCATAGTCGCCTCTAAATTACGCGATTATGCTATTATATGCACTTTTGCCGCTGGTTTCGATGCGCGCAACGACACAACGCGGGGATAAGCAACGCAGATATGCTAATCGAAGGTTTCGCCGTGTATTCTTGGCGGAAGTCGACTCACCCGCGCGCATCCTGTAAGCAGTTGGCGCATACACGGGAGAGCAAAGTCGGGAGAACTTGTTTCCAAGGGATACCCACTAAGGCGACCGCTTGTGCGTGTAAACTGTGTCGAGAGGCATTCAACCAAAATTGCTCTGCGGCCAAGCCTGATCCTCCTGCTTGTCGAGATCGTCCGCGGTGATGTACACGTGCATCGCAGAAACATCACGAGAAACGTTATCGCGCGAAGTTCTTTCGTTCTTCCGCCCCGAAAGGTAGATCGACCTTTCCGCATACGTTCGTCGCGCTCGAAAAAAAAAAGAGAGAAACGTTTTGCTGGTCCAAGTAGAATTCTAAATGTCACGGTTAAATTTATCGCTGTTTTTTTTTCGCATCTGCTAGAAAATTGTCTGCGGTACGTGGAATTTACAGCAGCAGCATTTCGCAAGCAATATCTGCAAGCAAATTTAGGTGAGTGTGAGGATCGTTTGTCTCCCGTCGCTGGTCTTTTTGTCTATCGTAGTCACTTTTGTAAGAAGTGTGACTGGCTTTAATCCGAATAGGCGAGACCACAGGAAGACTTTCTTGCTAAATTTTACAAATGGTTCGTATAGAAATTCCATCCCTGTCGTCTCTATACATATACGTTATCGTAGTGTTTACTAGTCATTTACCCATTTTGGCTGATTTCTCGTATCTCTGAATAATTTTCGCCATGACTGCAAGATCGTTTTTTTTTAGCGTGCCCGATCGCAAAATATATTTCATTTACTGACATTTAATCTCGTGCCTTTCGATACAACCTGCCTACGCGGCAGATATTTCGCAGTTTTTTTTTACTGTATATTAGCACATCGTTGATCGATTACTTTAACCATCAATCAACGTTACTATTTTTCCAATTTTTTAATAAATTGACACATTTTTGACCGGCTGCACGTTGTTCAACCTTTATTCCCGGCCTTTTTTTTTCAATAAACCGTTTTTGGAATACGAGATATGTTTCACGAATTGACCAACAACGTTTAATTAGCAAAACTTGAGTTTCAAATTCAATTAGCGAAATTGAGTTTTCGTGTAATCGATCAACAGCGTGTGAGAGGTAATGTAGGACGTTTAAACGGACGAGATGTTTCGGTGAATTCGAAAATGCATTATTCGATATATTTCGCAGATATATTTTTATAACTTTGCCGTTTTTCTTTAACGTCAATGCGATACGGCCGCGAACTCATGTCTCGTTCACATGTACGCTCGGCGTTTGCTCGCGATATGAATCATACAGACAGCAGACTACCGCGACTATCAGGTAATCTTACACTTCCCGCACGAGGTGAACTTTGCGAGGAGGCGGCGTTAGCATGTAACACGAAGGGAGGCTTCCGGCGGGGCGCGGTGCTTTCAATTAATTCTCCGTAAATTAATGGATAAGGTCACTGAAAGCGCAGCTTAAGTTCGAAGACAATGAAGCTGCACGCGTATACACGCAATGACGTGTGCGCAACGGCACGCGAGGATACTCGAGTCATGCGCTAAAGATTTGTCCGCATCCATCTGTGCCGTGAGGGAGCCTCGGCAGCCCGTAATGAATCCGGCAAGTCTAATTTAAATGAATCTCAGAAGCGATTATTCACTCATCCACCCTCATTTATCATTACGAGCGTGTATCACGTGGATCGTACAGTTTCCTCACTCGCGTGTATTAATTCCCTGCGAATTTCTATAATTTATGTGACGCATTAGCGCGCGGCGCACGGAAACGACGAGATCATTCTTGAGAATCCCCACGATCGAGAGGCGATTTAAACTTGGAAAAAGCCTATGTTCTTTGTATTCGTGTATTTTTCCTCCACTATCTCTCTCTCTCTCTCTCTGTCTTTTTGTCTCTCCCGCAGCGGGAGATGACGTTTTAAAATCCCAAACAACAGAAGCCGTATGATCTTTCCGTAAAGAGCACAATTCCCGACCGAAAGTATCGTATTGATTTTACTGTCTTTATTATATTTCTTAGTGCTGTCTCGATGTCTCTTTCTTTTCTTCCCTCTTTCGTATCGCTTCGATACAGATGAACTCGTAAAAACTCCACATTCTCTCTCTTTCTCTCTCTCTCTCTCTCTCCCTTTCTCTCTGCCATTTATATATAACCCCGTCTGCTGTATATATGTCGAAGCTCCATTCACATAAGAAAATATATCCGAGATTCGCGCTTGGCTCGACAAAATACATTTTCTATGCACGTACGCAAGGAACATGAATTCAAATCGTCATTAGCTTAGTTTGATGTTCGCGAATGTTGACGCGCGCGCGAGCGCTGGCTTTATTAATATCATCTTAGGTGGGACGAGGAGAGAGAGAGAGAGAGAAAGAGAAATAGGGAGACAGAGAGGAGGAGAGAGGTAGAAGGAGAGAAAGCGGAGGGAACGAGCTAGCGAAGAGGCATTCGTTTAACAGAGTTCGCGAATATAAGTGGGTTTTGATTAGCCCCGAATTTGAGCACCGCAGTAGAGAGTTCGGAATAGAGTGCATTTGAATCCCAAATTCATTGCTAATGCGGTTGCATGACCTATGATCTGCGCAAACACTCGTCGACTGCAGATATTTGCGAGGATTATATTTTTATGACAAAGAACCGCGACTTTTGTGCCTCTCGCGCTGAAATGACGTTCGCCGCGCAATGTCCTTTATCTCCCGGTCCCTCCTTCACGTCCGGCGAGAACAGGGAATTTGTCCGCCCGGCAAATACGCCCGCTCGTTAATTCGCGGAAAGTTCAAACGATATTTCACCCGAGTTTTATTTCGTGATAATGACATTACAAACACGGGCGACTGGAGATCGCCGTAAGTTTGTAAAGCGGAAAATCACAAGCAAAGTATGAAAAATAAAAACGACGACGAGAGAATTAATATTTTGCATACGTTGATAATTGACTCGAGATTCGATCACGTGAGAAGCATTGAGACCAGGAAAAGACCTTTTGTTCTGATCTGATCGTTGATAGATCTAATTGTTCTAATAAATATCGATGTAAACGAATCTGCACGAAAACGCCAAGTGTAAGCGCGGAAGAAGAATCGATTGACGAGATTTGCCGTGAATTTTAACGGACCAGAGCGCAGCGATACGACGAAGTGTGTGACGCAATAATGAAATAATTATTTCTGCGAGACAACAAGACTGTTATAAATTTTTACTGCGCCCCGTAATCGCGTAGGTTGCGATAAACCTCAGGAGTGCCATCGCGTAGGGATTCAAACGAAGCTATCTTTACGATCGCGTCGCCGCAACCAAGAAAAGCGTTACACTTTTTACGACTACTTTTTACGGACCAAACTGTAGATACGTATGTACACCGGTATACATGGCGCACGTACACGCGCGTGTATACGCTTGCTCTTAACATATCAGAAATGCTCAGGACGCTTCTAGGACGCTGCGCTTGCGGCATGGCGCTTTCGCTTCCGAGTTGGATTTATGTTGCGGGCACTACACTTTCCGCGGATTTTAATTGCATGCGAATAAAGAGTCGCGCACGGACTGTCCATAAGATCCTCGCGACAAAGAATGCAGCGAGAGAACTCGCACGGACGAAAACGCGGGTATAACGTCGTCGCTCGTTTTGTTTTTTTTTTCTTTTTTAGAAGACAAAACAACTTGCTTCTCTGTCTCTATACAAAGTGTCTGAAGTGAAGTGTCCGAGCGTTAAACCCAGACATTCTGTATATTTGAATCAGAGGTCTTATTATTATTATTTTGCTTTTCCTTTAAATCGTGCTCGTTGAGAAAAGAAAACTGGCGCTTCTCACTACAAATTCAAATTAAGGTTTCCCACTGATTTTTAGCGTAGATTAATGTCCACACTTTAACACAGACAAAAAACCGATATATTTTCGTATGAACATGATTACGCAGCATGATCCTTATTTCGCGGAAGGACGACTACACGTTTATCGAAAGCGTGATATTTTTTCCTTTCCAACGGCTTTCGTTTCAAGTCGCTACGACGTCTACAAGTGGAGTTATTGACGTTTGTATCGATCCGCGCATTCGGTCTGTCGGCGCTAACCCTTTCGCGCAGTGTGAGGTCGCGACACGACGCGTGGTGAAAACAATAGCCGCATTCCACGATGCTATTCTGGAAAGCATTATCTCGCACCTACGTGATGACACGCAGCGGACACAGCTGTCCTCACTTCGCGGCCCAAATCACATGACCGCTCTAGCTTACTATCGTGGCGCTTGGCTTCAGGATCGTCACCTTCATAAGACCCTGCGGGTCTTTCTTCAATTTTTGAAATGTCTTCTATGCATGTTATTTATACATAATGTTATATATATATATATATATATATATATATATATATATATATATATTTCCATTTCACGCTATTAACACATTTATATTACTTCAAAATACCACGATAAAAAACTAGTTTCAGGAAGAACTTTTCAGAGATTGAGGAGAGTCTCGAAGATATTGTAAAGTTGACAGTCTTAAGATTAAACATCGCGACTCATCATATCTACCAGACAAGCTTCGCTCACGTGTTCGTTGCAGCCACGTGGTCATATCATTCTATAAGAGGAGGATATAGGTCGGCATGCTCGGTTTGACGCCGAGCTAAAGCCTGACGTCATGCCGCGGACTTAAATAGCTCTAACTCGCTAAGTTGACGTAACGACGTGAAATCAAAAGCAATCTCTTTGGCGTGCACTCCGTCTATGTCGCTTTTCTATTGCTCTTCTATTTGGAAGAATCAAGTGTCGCGATCGATTAAAGCAAACACGAGCAACACGCAACCTCTTTCATTCGCGATCGGATTGTGCAGATTCCTTTCTTTGTTTCATCTATCGCAGCAGCGATGTGATTAATAACATCACTGTGAATCAAAGTAAAGGAATAATTATCGTGGTTATTTGTAAATGTTGGAGGACTTTCTTGTTCAATTTCATGAGTTCTGTCCATACACGAGCGTTAGCATGCGTTGTATTAGACATTCTGCATATATTCCCAACGCCATTGGAAAAATATATAATAAAAAAATTATAAAAAGACAAAATATGTTTCATATGTATCCATTAATTATGCAGAATATTTGAGTTTTGGTGCTCGTGTGCAGATAGAACTTACGGAAATGAATAAAGAAAAATCCTGCACCATTCTGTAAACTCTTTTTTTTCTTTTTACTATGATATTTATTGAGATATTAATAAAAGAAAATTAATCAATGAGCACGATACGGTGGAACGAAGGTCCAGATACTGAATATACATTCTCTTTTCCTACAGTAATATTTTTCCTTGTTAAAGATAATGTCCTTCGTCGAGCGCATGCATCAGTTCGCGCGATCGTTATAATTTGTCATAATTTAAATTCATAAATTTGCGCGCGACACTCGCACGCTCATGAATATTCTCGACACGCGAGACGCGCATATTTTTTTATTTTCTCTTTTCTCCTTTCGTTATTTTTATTTTTACGAGCTGGTATCGCGACATACTTTTTCCATGAACATGATAACGAAATATTAGTCGTCGTGTACATTTATTTGTCGTCAGCGCGAAGAGACCAGCGCGAGACGATTCTTTCTCTTTCATTCTCAGAGAAAAAAATCAATCATGTCTTTCACGTGTACAATCTCTGATCTGTCGTGAACAATTTCGCAAGGCGATTTTCCCCGATTCGGTCAGTCGCGCTCAAAGTACTCGCGAGGTGTAAACAAAACTCAGTGCTCCGTCCGTAAAGATATGAAAGGATCGTACAAAAGGGGCAGAAAATCCGCTTTTCAGATCGGAAATGTTTTACCCATAATCGAAACGACATTGGCGAGGGAACGCTCGAGTCGTAATGCGGCAAAGTGATTCCCCTCTTTATCACATTTGCGCGTAAATCTCTTTGTTAGCACGTTGTCTTGCTTCTTCAGGAAACTATAAATCTTATTTTTCATGTCTAATAGAACGTAGCAATGTTTTCTCTCGTATTTGTAGGAAAAATCGGGCCTCACGGAAAATACGAAGAACTCTCGACCTTTATTGCATCTACACTTTTATTTAATTTCTGTCGCTAAATATGTTATCTGTCAATACGTATACAGCTACAAAATGCTCACGTTCGTGCTTGCGTCACACGATTGGCAGCATTACGAATCCTCCTGTATTCCTTCCGCTTGCGGGGAGTATAGATCGACGGAAAAAAAAGTAAAGTCGCGAGTCAAGGGTCAATAAATCGCAGGACCCCGAAGAAAAGGTTGCACGCTCGAGAGTTATTGTGGTAATTTGAGTATAACGACATATGAGATAACTGCGTTGCTTCCTCCCGAATATGGCTCGGTTCCCGATATAACCCGAAAAGTCACTGCCCATTTGCGACTTTCTCTGAGAATTCGGCCATTTGTACGGACAGCCACTCGTCATTTTTCTTTTTCCCTCTCTTTTTTTTTTTCTTTGCGTCCTAATACACGACAGCGTCCTAAGACAGCGCGGCTGTGAAATAATTTATCCAATTGTCGCCAAGAAATTGTCATTTCTCACGGCGCAGAATGTATCTCATAAAAAGCACTTCTCGAGCGAAATATTTCCTCAATCTGGTCTTAATTTAAAAAAATATCTCTAAGCCAAAGATATAAAAGCGAGGAGAAAACTGTATTCGTTCGTCGCGACGATACTCCTTCTCTTCTCCGTCGCAAGGAAAAAGAATCGCAAGGAATCCCGCGCGTCTACAGGCTGCGATATCTTATCCGAACGTTACAAACTTACGATCTTGCCAGCGCCTCTCCACTAAACAATAATAGATGTTTCTCGTTGTTGTAACAATCGAAGAAGCGGTGTATTGCTGTCGAACAGATCGCGAGCACAAATTTCGCCATGTTCTATGTTGTCTTTCTTTTCTTTCTTCTCTCTCTCTCTCTCTCTCTCTCTCTCTCTCTCTCTCTGTTTCTTTCTCTCTCTCACGTACCCTCCTTTCTGCGTAATCGCCTGGAAACAATTGTATACAACTTGCAGCCCTAACACCAGTCATGTTGTCGCTGTCGGGTCCGCTGCTGGGCGCCGTGGTGGGAGCCGCAGCGGGGTTGCTCCTGGTGATCTTCGTGATCGTGATGGCTGTCAAGCTGCGCTATCGACCCCGATCTCAGGAGGACAAGGACTCTCATGACGACGGCGGCATGGCGAACCTGGCGGCGTCGGGAACCGGCGCCTCGTCCCCGCGTGACAAATCGGCGACCTTGCCCCTCAACGCCGATAGCATCGAGAGCTTCGAGAAGGATCCCGACATAATACCGCATGCAAATGGTAGGCGAGAACCTGTCACTCCGCCTCGCACAGCATGCTCCTCGATCTCTCCTCTGTGCTTTCTCCTTTCTCTTCGGCTGCATAATAAACGCATGCCGCGCTCCCCGCCCCTTCCGCGTAAGACAAATCGCGCATTCCCTGTCCCTCGTTAACTCGATCGCTCCTGATATACCAGGCAATTCTTTCTTCCTCTATGTCACTGGGATTCTTTTCCCTCTTGCGATGAATGCACTCTCCCGATTATCAGCAACGGCGGTATGTCATTAAGCTAATTATTGGTCGGAAATCTTGGCTCATTGTTGAACGATTGTTTTCAACATTGTTCAATCCTCAATGTGGAGGAATGCTGAATTTGGCTTGGCTGGGGCTGAAATCATATTTCTGTGGATTTTTTTCGTTATCAGTATCAAATTGCTCCTTTCCTTGATGAAGTCTACTGTAATGTTCGCGAAGAAGGCGGCTTCAATCCGAAAGTCAGTATTGTTCAAGCCTTGTTGCCAGCCTTACTTTAAGTATTGTTAAAACACGAGTTTCCTCGTGATCGGTTAACAATTGGTCCAAGTTTGCTTCCCGAGGATGTTTCTAACTTCGCGAGTGTCGGACACAGTCGTCGATACCGAACAACTCGCGATTTGCGATTAGTGTACGGTTTATTTCCGGTTGACACGGCTGTGCGTGACATATGCATGAGATACATGAATTTACTGGCGTGACAAGCAACAACGTGAAATCTTCGCTTTATCCCATTGTAGAAAATTCATACGCGGAACTATGCAAAGGAGCATCACCGCGATATGTGCTGCAGCAGCAACGCCCGGACGCAAATACCTTCACGGGCGCAAACAACGTAAGCTCTCACAGATCAAACCGTAATTTCTGCCATTATTCATTCCCGAGCTAACTCCGTTCCTCCCCGCTGTATTGCATAATTAATTTGTATATGGCTGATAAAATTGCAACAGCGCGCTCTTATCCGATGTATGTGTGTGTGTGACGATTCAAACAAAAACAATATAATAACATATTCCGGTATGTTCAGGACACACGCGTTCTACAATATATTTTTCGATCACCTGTGCAAATTTATTCTATAAAAGATGAGGCATGCGAATATACTTTTTTTTATCCAATGAATTTTTATGTAATTGATCAAAAGTTTATATTTATACAACAATCCACATTGATTGCATTCAGCTCGGAACAATACGCGTTGACGAGTGGCGCGAAACCGATATAATTTCGGCGATTACAGATTTTCACACGTCGTGCAGGTACAAACGATCTCGTGTGCACAAGTGTACTCTTGTTCGTAACATTCAAACGCAACAAATCGCATTTAGGCGTGTCTCTCCGTGTCTGCGGCGTATCGATCTCGCGGCAAGTTCAGCAATTTCAATGCACCGAATTTTGGTCTCGTGCAAGAACATTTTGCGTGTCCATGATTAATCCTCCCAGATATCGGGTCATCTCATAACTAATGTCATTTTTTATCTTACTTTGAACAAACATAGATATCTTGTTTAGTCGACATGTGTACACGATCTTTTTTTTAAAGCAATATCTATTCCCTCTGTAGTCTAAATCGAGCGTAAAAGTAAATGCAAGTATTAATATTTGATATTAATATTAATATTTTATATATTGATCTAGAAACACAATATTATTTATGAGGTGACCCAGGCATCATTTCCTCTAATTAATTCTAATAATCCATAGCGAAATGTATTTTTTCCTCTATAACCGTAATCAGCCGATCGTTCGATCTCATTGAGAATGAACGCGACCTTACATAATACATTCGTTACAAATTGATCAGAGAGGCGTGTATTTAACAATAGCGAGTCGATCCAGGAAGTAATATTGTACTCTCAGCAGGGATCCGAGCTAACGTACGCCGAGTTAACGCTCAGGGGAAACCGGCGGATACCTCTAAATTGCTACCAGCCCGTGCAAATCTCCAGCATCCAGCGGCCCCAGCTGCTGCCCATGTCGACTTTGACGCGCAGACAACCGATCCAGGAGCCGACGATTTACGCGCAAGTTGCCAGTCATTCTAAACCGATTTACGTGCCACCACCACACCCGTACATGAATCGTCCCAGCGACGAGATCACGGCGGAAACGCCATTGATCGGACACGACAATAAGGTAACAATATCTGCGAAAGCAGCGCGACCACCACTTTTTCACGGCGATGCCGACGATTAGAGTCGCGTTTCGGCCAATCGGTACGTTCGTCCCCTTGAATCTTTCGCGTTACAACACATTGAAGAACGGAATAGAAGACTGTTCTTTTCTCTATCTCTCTCCCGAGACGACCCGATCAGAATGTCCAGAATTAACGAACTAGTCTCAACTCCGGGATCCTCCGAGTGATTACCAGGTGGTTAGCAGTTGTGGAGCCGCGACAACTGTTAGCACATCGGACAAGTAGCTTCGCCACGTGAAACAGTGTGAGCCGAATTGTTGCAAGTGCCGGGCACTCGTAAACCGACTCGAGGATAAACGCTAGATTCTCTCGTTCGCAGTGACGCCGCGTTGCTAGTCGAACGATAAGTGAACTTTAACCGTCGAACCGTGCCTTTCTTTTTCTTCTAGATCACTACGATCAGCCATTCGGGCAGCTCAATCTGGCGCACCGACACGACGCCTTCCTCGAACGCGCCGACGACATGATTTCAACAAGCTGCACTGTAATCCACGATTCCATTCGCTCCCTGAACGTCTCTTAATGTACACCACTCCTTCTCCCTCCCTTTCCCTTTTCTTCCTGCTTCACCCACCACCCTTCCCGTCCCTCCTTCGAAAAGAAGAGGAATAAGAAAAAAGAATGGTACAGAATGCACATCGATTCCACGTATGTGTTAAATGCGGAGTTCTTCGAGGGAGACGCCGCGGTCCCTCCGTCGGCGGAAATTGTTATAGTACTTCTTATACTATAGGAGTGTTGAATAGAGGATTCGTTCGACGATGAAAGTAATTAACGAAATCGCGCGGAGTATATTATATACGTATACATAGAGGAGAAAGAGAGAGGAAGAGTGTGCGTGTGTGTGTGTGTGCGCGCGTGTGCATGTATGTATGTATGTATGTGAGAGAGTGAAAGAGAGAGAGAGAGAGAGAGGGAGATTATGCGCTTTTCGAATGATTTGTGATAGCGTGGTCGGTCGGAGCCGGAAAAGCTTGAACCGTTTTTCTCTTCAGCCGTCCATAAAACTCGAGGCTCGCTGCGCGACCGCTGTTTCGATCCCCGAGCGACGAGAAACGTTCGTCGTAGCGCGCGTCTAAGTCTGAAGTTTTTTCGTGAGACGGGTAAAAGAATAAATATGTTATCAGAGGATTTATATGTGTGTTATCGCGGTAATTAGCGATGCGTTGCTCTGACGCGAAAACGGCGAGCGTTTCCCCGAGCGATCTTCAACCCGCATCCCCGTGACGCTCGCAAATCTCCCATGAAAGATTCTCTCCTTTTATCTTTACCACGGATAACGGGAGGATTTTCTGAGAAACATTCGATCGCGATGATCTCGACCAGCACAGTCGCGAATTGAAGATCGAAATAGCGCTCGCCAAGTGTGTGTAAATCGAACAACGTCGGTGGATTATGAACGCAACGATACACAGCGTGATCGGTAGGGCGAAGTTAGTCGAGCGTTTATTGTTGTTGCACGTGTTATCCGGCACTTTCTGTAGTTTCTACTGTCACGCGCAAGTTCAGTTCCGAAACGTGCCATTAGAATTCTCCGTGTCCGAGTCATCGTTACTGAACTAACATATTTCCGTTTCAGTATTCTACGTGAAATTCTCAAGCGAAGTGCAGATTATTCTTTAAAAAAAATAAGATAAAGGAAGAATCGATGGGATATTGTTCTGAGAATTTCTGCTATTCAACGACGCGTGATTCTACGGGTGATTGAATTTTCTTCCGTTTCCACGTCTTCTGCCTTCTCTTTTAATAGAAAGTAAAACGGTGAATCTCTTGTTCGAAATTAGAATACGTCGGGAAGCGAGTTGTTTCCACGTTTAGTACTCGGTTACGTTGTTAATAAATGTTAGCAGAATCGTCGCGCGAGAGAAAAACGAGATTAAAAGTGATACGTGAGCTCGGAAAGATCGTATTGTCCAACTTGATGGATCGAGCATTGAGTTTTGTAGACATGCACTTTTCTTTCGACTCCATCCCGAGCCGCTTCCACCTCTACAGAATACCATGTACGCGTTCGAGTGAGAGACGACGCGCGAGCTTTAACGTCGCGATTAACCGGAAGAATATGCCTTCTTTCTCTCGCTTCAGTTTCATAGTTACCCGCTACTTACGTAGTGACCATTTAGCGTAAGTAAGTTTGTTCATTCAAAGGGAGTTATGTAGACGAGTTACCGGTAGCAAGAGTAGACGATATCCGAGAAGGTGGATGAAGCGAGGAAGCTTTCTCTCTCTTGGAGGAATCACGATCGATCGTCGATGTAACGAGTCCTTGCGCGCACTCTCGTTGGTCTCCCGTTATTCCGGGAAGAAGGGGGGGGGGGGGGGGAGGGAAATCC